ATACGATCTACAGTGATATCCCACACTGTTCGACTCTCCCCTATCATGGATCAACTCAACCCGCCAATCCACGAGAGGCCCGAGAGCAGCGAGAAGGCCCCCGTGTATAGAGTAGCAGTGATCCAGATGTACCCCAAGGTGAACAGGCACCGTAGAAGCTAAACAGAGTCTCTTCGCTGAGCATCGGCGCAGCCCATGGAACTGGAGGCCAATTACCAGACCGCTGACAACTTCATCCGCTCGGCCGCCAAACACGACGCCACCTTGGCAGTCCTCCCAGAATACCACCTGCTGAACTGGGTCCCACACGACGAGAAGTTCAAGGAAGCTTGCGGTCAGTGGAAAGAGTACCTGGACCGCTACCGGGTGCTGGCCAAAGAGTGCAACATCTGCATCGTCCCAGGCACCATCCTCGAATTGCACGAAGCTGGCACCGAGGACGAAGTCCTGCTCAATGTCGCCTACTTCATTGACAATACTGGCGAGATAGTCGGCCGATACGTCAAGAAGAATCTGTGGGGCGATATCGAGCGTCTGCACTTAACCTCTTCGTCCACAGATGCGCATCCCGTCTTCGATACGCCGATGGGGAAGGTCGGGATGTTGATTTGCTGGGACCTGGCGTTTCCGGAGGCGTTCAGGGAGATGATACGGCAGGGAGCGAAGATCATCATCATCCCTACTTTCTGGACGTTGGCGGATTGCTCGAAGGCTGGGTTGGCCATTAATCCCAGCGCCGAGGCGCTGTTTCTGGATTCGATGCTGACCGCTCGATGCTTTGAAAACACGTGCGGTAAGTGCGGTCTGTATATGAACAATGCCATGTCCGAGCTAATGTCGTACAGCGGTCATCTTCGCGAACGCCGGCGGTCCTCCCGGGAAAGGCTACGCAGGTCTGTCGCAGGTCTGCGTTCCGTACGCTGGAGCACTCACGAGGCTCGGTAGCAGCGCGGAGGGTATGGCGGTGGTCGACCTCGACATGAAGATTGTCGAAGATGCAGAACTGAACTATCAGGTGAGAGCTGACCTCGCTCGAGCGGACTGGCATTACGGGTATAAGCACGGCCCCGAAGCCAAGACGTAACCAGAAGAAGTCAATAATGTACGAGCTCGCGTATGCTGTAGACACCTTCGTCTACATTACATTATCCTTACAGTATCTTTTCACTCCCTGTCATTGACAAGATGCCCGAGCATCAATTCTTGCGACGCTGTCGCAAGCACCTCAACACACGCGAAGCCCGCTTCGCCATGCGCCTCATCAACGCCGGCTTCTCGCCCGACCGCTCCTCAGTCCACACCGTACCGCAAGACCCAAACGAGCTCCGTGTCGTCCCACAAGCAGTCTCCGAGGTCCTCGTCTCCCAAGAAAACCGCTTCGGCGTAGACGGTAGCGAAGCAACCCGACGGCGCGATCTTTCCTGGGCCCTGAACTCCTGCAAACTCCCCATCTCGAGCGGCGTAGGCGGTAATGGGCGATTGAGGTAGGCCTGAAGATCGAACGGTTCGCTCCGCGAACCTGAGTAGACATCCCGTAGCGATCGCAAGTCTGGGACGCTGCCTCGTCTGGGCCGGAGATGGCGTATCTGTGACGGGCTCTCGAAGCGTGCGGATGGTACGCGGTGGAAGGCCCTGAGATGGGCGCGAGGGGGAGCGATCAGAGGAGTTGTTTCTGTAGAGGGCTTCTTTGTGGTGGCGCGAGTGCAGTGGCGGCAGTAGGTTTCGGCGTTGCAGCGGCGTCCGAAGCGGGTGTTGAGGAAGGCGAGGGGCATTTGCTGGCGACGGCGGTGGGCGTAAGCCATATATTGGTGTGCGTGGGTGTGGAAGGTAGAAGGCCGGCTTCTACTCGTGTTCGTCGAGTGCGTGTTGGAGGTTTACGAGAGGTGCCTGCCTCTATGATTGGGATCAGGATGGATGGTAGTAAGGCGTTACTGCTTGTGTTATATGGACGTGTTGAGTAAGACATACTACACATCGTTAACAATGGGCAGGGAGCCGAGACGTCGCTAGCAAGTGAGACTGAGACCGAGCATTGTGCGACTCTTTGTCTAGGACTCGCTCGCTGATAGTTTCGATCGGGCAAGACACCTGGCTCATCATCGCTGCTTTGACGCATCTCACTCGCCAGTCATCGAGCCATGAGCATTCGTAATGGCGACCCGAAGCTCACTGACCGTCATCGATACCCTGCCACTTCCCCAAATTTGCTGTTGATCCGCAGCAAAGCCTTCCATACTTCGAAGTGCAACGACCAGGAAGCCAAGCTCCTCCCGGTCCACGTCGAAGACTTCCCACCACTCCACGTCCGGCAGACTGACACCTATCTCGCGAGCAGCGAGGTAGATACTGGCGGTGGCCAACGCACAAGGCTGGTGAGTGAGGTACAGCCGCTGCGGGCTCAGCAGCGCACTGTTGAGATGCGCGAATGCTTGCTTCGCCAAAGCGGATCCATCCGGTCCACTGAAGGCATCCAGAGTCTGCATGTAGTTGATACACAGGCTGTATGGTAGAGCGACATGTGTCTGGAAGCCTAGAGTGCG